GAGCCATCTGCCTCGTTACGCGCGCCGAGCCAGAGGCGCGGAGCGCCGCGGAGGAGGGTCACAGGTGCGCGGTGGACGCCGCGCTGGCGGGCGCCTGGCGCGGGCTGGACGGCTTCGGCTGCCGCCTGGGCGGCGACTTCCCCGTGGGCGGCGCCGCCGGCGGAGACCCAGGGACCTACGGGGAGGTCACCTCGAGCGGGGCGCGGCGGGTGGCGCGGGCGCTGGGGACATCGGGCGGCGACAGCTATGCGTAACCGCCCGCCACCGCCGCGGGCCTGGCCCATCCTGGGCCCAGGGTCGATGCATGTGACTGGCCTCCCTGGCCAGGCTGGGGGGTCGTAACCATGCACTGCTCCTGGGTCGGGATGGGCCTCGTGGCCAGGGGCGGTGCATTCGTACAGATCTCGTCGCCCGAGGATGGACACGCTGGGGCCGGGAAGCGACCTCGTCTTCTTCGACCTCGGCAGCGGCGTGGGCAGGCTTCGGCTTCGCGTAAGAGTGACCCCTCGCCAGCGTGACCTGTGGTGCGGGCCCACAGGGTTGCCCCCAGTACCCGGCCTGATGCGCTTTACCAGCTTGAATTTGTGCCCCTCGGGCCCCATCAAATCCGCTCACCAAAGGTCACTCTTGCCCAGGATTACTCTTGCGTTCGGCGGCGAGCCCGAGGGGGAAGTGAGAAGTGTGAAGAAGCAGGCCTTCTCAGAAGGCTCGGAAGTCCCCCGGCCTTCCGAGAAGTTTTCTAGGCCTTCCCCGAAGACACACACACACACACACACAGAACCACTCAGAAGGCCGGAGGCCTTCTGAGAAGCCCCGCCGCCTTCTGATAAGGCCTTCTCATTCTCACTTTCCCCCCTTTCTCGCCGCCGATACGGGAGCGAAAGAAGGACGTACACATACATGAATTCACGTTGATTTCGAGAGTACGCATTGCGCGAACGTTCGTATCACGCGGCTGGTCTCGCGGATTGGGGGCCGTGTTCATGTACGTGGTTGGGCGCGTACGTCTTCTGTGGGCTCTCTACACTTACGCGTGACCGAGGGTCACTGCCCACCAAGCCACCCCAACCCAACCCGACGGCCCCAAGTTGCCATCCCTTCCCAGGAGGGGAGGGGGGCACCCCGGAACATAGAAAAATACAGATGGAACCCAGACGCCCAACCCTCAGGGGCGCTCACCCCTAGGAAACCTTCCCCTTCGTTACGTCCCCCTCGCCTCGCCCCAAGGCGCATGTGTGCAGCCAGAGGGAAGCTCGAAAAACGAGGGTAACGTCACGGAAGGGTTTTTTTGGCTCGGGGTCGGTCAGGCCGCGCCCGAAACTTGGAATTCGGGATTTCGGGCTGGGGTTGGGGTCATCCGGTGGGTGGTCCGAAGGCTCGTGGCGCAGGCCTACCTGGAGTGGCCCGCCGTGCGCCGGGCGGTGGGCGTGGAGCTCTCCGCGGAGCGCGCCGCGCGCGGCACGGCGGCCTGGGCGGCGCTGGCCGCGAGCGGCGAGGCGCTGGCGCTGAGGAGGGGCGCGCTGTCGCTGCGCCCCGAGGTCAGGGGCAACGTTGGGGGTCAGAGGAGGAAAGGGTACCGATACCTCTACCCTTCGCCCGTTTTTCCCTTTTTTGGCTTCGTGGGCCTCCCTTGTCGCCACCGCTGGATTCGCCTCGAAATCCGGGTCAGAACGCACCGCGGGAGAGGTCCGGGGGGTAGTAGCGGTATTGGTACCTTTGGGTATCCCCAAGGGGGAGCAGGCTGCGGGGGGGGGGGGGGGGAACGCATCTTGTGTGCGGATGCACGTCAGAGAGGCGTCCTCTCTCTCTCTCTCTCTCTCTTGGATCAGGCACGGAGGGGGAGGGGGAGGGGACAAGTCGCCAGCGCAAAAGACAATCTTGACCGCAACCGAGGGAAGCAGATCATTGCAGCAATATGATATTGACCATAGCTGCGGGGAACAACTCACCAAAGCAATCAGATTTTCCTCTCCCGTTTTGTTTTCCCCTGTTGCCTCCCCCTCCTGCCCATCCAACAGTTCTGATCCCCAGGGTGCACACAAGATGCATCGAGCCTCAATCGCCCATTGATCGCCTATGGGAAGGGCCCAGCCGCCGATAGCCCCTCCCATAGGCCGAGTTGACGTGGACGGAGGTGCAGGGCACCATGGTCCGACTCTCAGAGAGGGAGCCCGCGAGCGCAGTCAGGAAGTTGTTCAGGGGAGGGGCAGATACCGATACCGCTCCTCGTGCTCGTCCCGGAGATCCCTCGTCGCCACGGCTGCATTATCCTCGAAAGTCTGGTCAGAACGCTCCCCAGGAAAGGTCCAGGGAGTATCGGTAGAGGGGGCCCGCGAGCGCAGCAAAAGTCATGAGCAACATGAGAATAGGATAGGCTGTGGTGGGGGGGGGGGGATGCATCGACCCCCAATCGCCCATGGATGGCCGATAGGAGGGGCCCCATAGCCAATAGCCCACCCACCCATCGCCGACCTATCGATGATGTATCGCCGACTCAAGTTCGATATTCCCCCCACACGCCCCTGAGCTGGTACCCTGATGATTTTCGGGGTCATAGCTCGGACCTCCGCCGGCCGTTCGGGGCGATCCGGGAACCCCATGGAACGGCCTCGGCGAGGCGCACCCGCTGGGGGGGAGGGCATCCCGAGGTCGGAAAACCGCCGAGAGCCCACGAACACGTCCGGAAATCTGAGACCTCAAAACCTCGAAACGTAGTCCAAGCTGATCTGGGACCTCGGTCGAAACCTCGACACGGTCAAACCTCGAAACTCGAAACTCGGTCGAAACCTCAAACCTCGAGTTTCCCCCCCCCCGACTGGTCCCGCCCCTAGGGTTCCCCATCTCGCGAGGGCGGTGGTGGGGCGCCCGGGTGCTCGCCCGCGGCGGACGTCCAGCTGCTGGAGGGGGACCTGTTGCTCGCCGACCTGGCGGAGGCCACGCACGTCTACCTCTCCTCCCTGTGCTTCGGTTATCGGGGCGGTAAATCTACGCCTCCCAGGGGAGGAGGAGAAGGACGACGACGAGGAGGAGGACGCGGAGGACGACGACTACGACGGCTAGGAATAGGAGGAGGAGGAGGAGGAGGAGGAGGAAGAGGAGGACGCGGTGGACGAGGAGGACGAGGTCGAAGAGTAGGAGGACGACAACGAAGAGGAGGACGCGGTGGACGACGACTACGACCAGGAGGAGGAGGAGGAGGAGGAGGAGGAGGAGGCGGAGGAGGAGGAGGAGGAGGAGGAGGAGAGGAGGAGGAGGAGGAGGAGGAGGAGGAGGGAGGAGGAGGAGGAGAGAGAGGCGGAGGCGGAGGCGGTGGTGGACGACGACTACAAGGAGGAGGAGGAGGCGGAGGAGGAGGAAGAAGAGGAGGAAGAGGAGGAGGAGGAGGAGCAGGAGGAGGGAGGAGGAGGAGGACGCGGTGGACGACGACTACGACAAGGAGAAGGCGGAGGAGAGAGGAGGAGGAGGAGGAGGCGGAGGAGGAGGAGGACGCGGGACGAGGAGGAGGAGGGGGACGAGGTCGAGGACGCGGTGGACGAGGAGGAGGGCGGAGGAGGAGAAGGAGGAGGAGGAGGAGGAGGAGGAGGAGGAGGAGGCGGTGGACGACGACTACAACGAGGAGGAGGAGGACGACAACGAGGAGGAAGGCGCGGTGGACGACGACTACGACCAGGAGGAGGAGGAGGAGGCGGAGGAGGAGGAGGAGGAGGAGGAGGAGGAGGAGGAGGAGAGGAGGAGGAGGAAGAGGAGGAGGAGAAGGAGGAGGATGCGGAGGCGGCGGCGGTGGTGGACGACGACTACAAGGAGGAGGAGGAGGAGGCGGAGGAGGAGGAGGAGGAGGAGGAGGAGCAGGAGCAGGAGGAGGAGGAGGAGGACGCGGTGGACGACCACTACGACGAGGAGGAGGCGGAGGAGGAGGAGGAGGAGGAGGAGGACGCGGTGGACGAGGAGGTCGGAGAGGTCGAGGAGGACGGGAAGGACGACGAGGTGGACGAGGACGGGGGACCCCGCGCGGGCTTTCCCTCTCTCGTTGCTGGGGATGGGCCTAAAGCCAGGGTGACCCAGGGTCAAACAAAATCTGACGCGTCCGAATCCGAGTCCTCCCCAAGGGGGTCCGAACGACGAGGCAGCGCCTCCCCTCGAGCCTTTATCCAGGGGAGGTCATCATCGGTCAAACCGAAGTGTTCCAGGACCTGCTCTCATGGGGCGAAAGCCTGGAGAGGAACGAATTCGCAGGCAGACCCAGGATGCGCGGAGCCAGAAGAGTGACCAGCAGCCCCTTCCAGCGTCTCAGCCAAGTCCTTCCGCTCGGCGAGACTGAGGCCCTTAAAGGCCCTCAACACCGGGTCCTCCTTGCCTTGCTTGTAAGAAGGGAACTTGCTCAACCGAATTCTTAGGACTATAGTGCTATAGGGGCCATAGGGCTATAAGGCTATAGGGCTATAGGTCTATAGGACTATAGGGCTATAGGGCCAATGGGCTATAAGGCTATAGGGCTGTAGGGCTATTGGGCCATAAGGCTATAAGGCTATTATGAGGGCTATGAGGGCTATAGGGCTACAGGGCTATGAGGGCTATAGGGCTAGAGGGCTACCGAGCACCCGGGCACCCCGGTACCTGGGCATCCGGGCACCCAGGCACCCGGGCACCCGGGCACCTGGGCACCTTGGCACCCTGGCACCCGGACACCTGGGCACCCAGGCGCCCAGGCACCTGGGCGCCCCCCGGGCACCTGGGCACCCGGGCACCCCGGGGCACCCGGGCACCCCGGGGCACCCGGGCACCCAGGCTCCCGGGCACCCGGGCACCCGGGCCGAGCACCGAAATCGGCGGCGAACCTCACCTAACCGTATGGATCGGCTAGGACCCCTACAGAGGCAAGCTCTGATTGGGGAAGGTTGTTACGCTAACCTACCAGCATGCTATGTATCTTTTCGTGGATTGAGACCAGATAACCAATTCCGTGGTAAAACAATTATGTTGCCGATCCCCTACTCGAACGCTGGCCTCACCGATGTTCCGCCGACGGCGGCGATGCATCGCCGATGCATCGGCGATGCGCTGGCGCTGGACGAGAAAGAGGGCGAGGTCGAAAAGCCAGGCAGTGCCGACGCGGCTCGATGTGGAGCCCGATTTTGTCCGCCTTGGCGTCGCCGATGCACCGCCGGCGGAGGCGATGCATCGCTGATGCATCGGTTCCTCCGACCCCCATCTACTCGGACCCCATCTAGGGGACATCGAGGGAAAGGCCCAGACCTCCAGCGTGCGGAGCAAAGTCGAGGCGACGAGGTTCTCGTCGTTTTCGGCCCCTGGGGGCCCTCGCCAAGCCCTAGGGCCGCCATAAAACGACTCAGGATGAAAAGCCAGCCCCAACTGCCCAGTCACCCAGACGCGGGCCGCCCCGCTCATGCGTTGAATCGTAGGGAATGCAGCGGCAGTTATGCAGTAGTACCGCATTGACACTCGATGATACGTTTGGCTACGCTCTTTCTTGTTTTTGTTCTTCCCAACAATAACAGGGTTACCATTTGACCTCGCGCCCGCGCATCCGCTAACTACTCTAGGAACCCCGTCTTGAACAAAGCAAGACATCGGAGGTCTGGGACTGTACCAGCGGCACGCGCGCCGTCTCTCCAGCGGTGTGTGTCTCTCGCTTTCGTTGCTTCTACGAAAGAGCCTTCCACTCTTCAGCACCGCATGGATACTGCTGTTCCCAGGCCTCCGATGTTGTCATTTTTTGCACGTGCGGAGTCCTCAGAGCAGACCGTTTTTTTTCCGCGTTTTTTTTGACTGTCCGAGGCCGTTTCTGGACGGCCCCAGGGCCTGGCGAGGGGGCCCCAGAGGCCGAGAAGTAGGAAAAACCTCCGTGTCTTGTTTTCGCCACACGCTGGAGGTCCGGAGTTGGCTCTAAGTCAGGAGGGGAAAAAACACACAGACACAATTAATCGACGAGTCCCAGGAAAATATGGGAAGTGGGGGGGAAGACAAAAACCCCAAAAATATAGGAAAATATGGGGGATAATTTTATTTGTGTGTATTTATTTGTGTGTCCCAGGGCCCCTTCACTAAGGTTTCACCTCTGCTCCTCGAGGCGACGCGCTGCTTGCGCGCGTCGCCGAGAGGCTCGTCCGGGACGCCCCGCGGCTGCGCGCGGTGGCCAGCCTCCGGGCGCTGCCCAGCGGCCGGCCGCCGGGCCTCCGCTACACCGGCTCGGTGGAGGCCGCCGGAGGGTCTCGATGTGTATACACCGCGTCCTTTGGTCGGCCAGGAGATAGCTACTTCGATCGAGATAGGTAGACAGCCGCCTCCTCCTCCTCCCCCTCCTCCCCCTCCTCCTCCCCCTCCTCCTCCTCCACCTCCGCCTCCTCCTCCTCCCAGCCCGTACCGCAGGGATGCGCGGTGAGGATGCAAGGGCCTTGGAGGGCCATGTTAGCGTTGTTCGAACGGGATTGGCCAGCGAAAGTCGCTAAGGACGGGCCGAAGGGGTAAGGATGCAACGGCACCCTTGGGAAGGTTGCCCTGGCGACAACGGTTCATGCTTCGCGCCAGCGGCGCGCGAATGCTTAGGCATGTCCAGTTCCCAGACGGCGCCGGCGCGAGTCGGTGAATCGTGACGTGACCAGGGGGGGGGGAGGGCGGGGCTCCTCACGGGCGCTATCACAAACAAGAAAAAACGGACTCCAGGGAGCCAAGGAATTCGGCAAAGGAATCTGGTGTATAGGCGCTCCAGCATCCCACAGGTCGGACTGATGGGGCGTCCATACACCGAGCGCCTCGGCCGACCAGACAACTTAATGTATAGACACCGAGCCCCTCCCATAGGCCGAGATGACGTGGACGGGGGTGCAAGGCACCAGGGTCCGACTCTACGAGAGGGAGCCCGCGAGCGCAGCAAAGAAGCTCTCCAGGGGAGGGGCAGATACCGATGCCGCTTCTCGCTCTCGTCCCGGATATCCTTCGTCGCCACGGCTGCATTCCCATGGACCCCCAATCGCGCATCGACCGCCGATGGGGGCCCCACAGCCCAGCCCGCCCACGAACGTGCGGTTGCGCTATCGGGAGCCTGTCGCCGATCTATCGGCGATGCATCGCCGATTCCAGATCGTTGATTCCCCCCATGTGCTTGTCCCAACCTCACTGTTACCCCTCATGAACACTTATGAGCAGGGTGCGATCCCATGTCGCATTTGCCCTACGCTTCTGAAGAGCAGACGGGAGCCATATGCGACGACAGGCGCTGCTGTAACATCTGCTGGTGGCAGAGGTGGTGAGGAAGTTCTTAGCGAGAGTGCGATTCTCAAGCACACGACGCGGATTCGACGCGAACGGCGACACCATGGGATAGGCAAGGTCTGGGATAGACAGGATCCCCGAATATGCAAGATGAGAGGAGAAGGAGGAGGAGGAGGAGGAGGAGATGTAGGAGGAGGAGGAGGAGATGTAGGAGGAGGAGGAGGAGGAGGAGGAGGAGGAGGCCCTCACCCTACCCTCCTTGCCCTCTCAGCCTCTCCCCGCCGCTCCGCGCTCCAGCGCCGCCGGGCCGCGCGAAGCCCACGCGGCGCGCCGGCCCAGCGGCCCTATAAGGGCGCCGGGCTCCGGCCCGGCCCGCGGCGGGCGCGGGGGGGGCGGCCGGATGCGGGCGCGGCCCGCCCACGCGTCGCCGGGTGGCCGATGAGGGCGCGCCGCGCGGGGGTCGGTCTGGAAGCTCGGAGAGGGGCTGCAGGTGTCCAGCAGTGGCGAAGCGTCCCGGCTCGCCTATAGCCCCACCAAGCAATGTTCTAAGAACTTTTTTGTGGTTCCCACGAGATGTTCTCAGAGCATGGCTGGCTATAGGACTGTCTTGTGTTCTAACACGTCGGGTTGATGCTCTAAGGACATTGGTCTTGTTCTTAGAACATTTTGGGGTTCTAAGAGCAGTTCGTGGTATGACTAGGAATGCCGGGACGGCCGGTCCCTGCTCCATGGTGGCCAAGTGCAGGAGCCTCTGCTCGATCCATCCAGTTCTCAGAGCACGGCTTGGTCTGGTGCATGGTGGGAGTCGACGGCCGTTCAGGTGGGGCGACGTGGGGTACGTGTAGTGGCGGGCCAGTGGGATTCGGTGGGGTCGCAAGTGGGGTTTGGTGGGCCTCAGTGGAGGTCCACTAAATCTCGGTATCTGCGCGCCCGTGCGACCAGCCGAAGCTCCCATGCCTGGCCACCTCTGGGGGGCGAGACGAGGCAGCGGCGGCGCTCCCGGGCGTTCTGCAGGCCTCCGCGTCGCTTCCCCCATCGTTGGGCCGCCCCCCGGCGGGGACCGCCCTGGGTGCTCCTTGAGCCTTCTTCGGGGCTATTGGGCGTGCTTCGGCCACGCGCAGAGGGGGGTAGGGGGAGGGGGGAGTAGAAGCACCCCTGCTTCTCAGAAGGCGCTGGGCCCCTCTAATTATAGATGTAAGGCGGGGGACTGCTGAGAAGCAGGGCGCTTCTGAGGAGCCTTCCCCCCTCCCCCTACCCCCTTTTGCGCGCCGCCAGGTTCTGGGCCAGCCGATGTTGAGGGCTTTGGGAAGGCCGAAGAGGCGGAAGGTGACTATTGTGTCCCGACCGCAGAGGTTTGGTCAACATTGGGGTCCTGGATCGGCCCCGACGATTTCCAAGACGCCCCCGGAGATGCCCAAGAGGGCCCCGGGACGTGTCCAAAAGATCATCTCAGAGAATGCTGGACAATTCCAACACCCTTTGGGCGTTTGGGTGGGCCAAGGGGCGCAGCACATAACCTCCCCGGGGGGACTCTTCCTCTCCCACCCTCCAAACTGGCCGAACCAGGCTCCCGGGGGAGGGTTTTGGGGAGGGGCAACTATCTCACACGCCATGGAAAACCCAAGGGGTCAGAGAATATGGAGGCCGTTTCGCAGAGCTGCGCGTTATCACCATTGCCGAGGTTGGAGGTCGATTGCACTCGACGGAACCACTGCGCACATGTTACGACATCTCCCGAATCATGGGGGAGGGGACAAGAGTGTGGGAGTGGGAGGGGAGGGGGGTGAACGCGAGGGGGAACCGGGAGGGCGAGGAACGAGGGCGACTGGGGACAGGGACAGTGAGAGGACGGAGGAGGAGGAGGAGAAGAAAAAGGAGGAACAGGAGGAGGAGGAGGACCAGTGTAAACCCCAGACGCATCATTGATGTTGTAATAGATCCTCCCTCCGAACTCTCCCTCCATAGGTCCCCGCAAGAAATTATTTTCATTACGGAAAATGCCCTGTTGGGAGTCAACCGTCTGAAAATGCTCGATCGTGCGATAATTAGAAAATGGGATATCAACGCCGCGAATCAACGTGATTGTCGCGGCGTGACAACCTTGAATCATGTAAGATAAGCATTTTGGGAATTTGAACATTGCGAGTCAATGTGACTTTTGCGCCCTGGAAATCTTGCATCGGGTCATTACGCCCGTCCTGCGACTTCAACCATAATGAGCCCTTGAATACGATGCAACTCGTAAGACGAATGTGCGCAGCTCTACGGCGATAGCTACATTTTGAAAAGGAACCGCCCTCCATCGTTGAAGCTGCTGTAAATTTATCATCCGAATACGCTCGGAACTAAGGCGAGAACCACATTTTGAAAACGGGCCGCCCTCAATTTCTGAAATTGCTGCAAACGTTCAAGAAGAATGTGCGCGACGCTACGGCGAGAGCCACATTTTGAGAACCAGCCGCCCTTCATCCTATAAGCCGCGGCAAGCTTTTAAGCCGAATTTGCGCGGCGCGACGGCGAAAGCTCCATTTTGAAATCCAGTCGCGATTCCGTCTTACAACCTGTTGCAAGTTGACAGCTTCATAAGCGGTGAGGCAATCTCAGGCGAAACGCCCGGCCCGCCCTACCAACACATCAGGGGGTGCGACAGAGAGGAATTTGAAGGAAAAGAAATTGAGGAGGAGGAGGAGGAGGAAGAGGAGGAGAAGGAGGAGGATGATAGGAGGACGACGAGGGGGACCCCCTCCTTGCTGCCCCCCTGCCCTTATCGCGTCTTCCCCACCTCCCCCTTTCACCTCATATCTCGTCTCCTGCCCCCTCCATTTTCAGGAGCCGCAGTAGCACGTGATATGTCGTGGGAAGGCGGGATCCTGCGTGGCACCCAGCCCAAGAGGCCAAGAGGCCACCCCTCCCCCCTTGCCGAGGCACGAGACGCGAGCCCCAGCGATGCGGACTCCGACGAGGAGGAGGACGACGACCGGAGGGACCGCTGCGGGCGCGGGCTTCTCGGCGACCTGTCATCGGGGGGACGGGCCTCGCAGAGGCTTCGGAAGCTTCCTGCCACCCGTGCGCCTGCCGTCGTCGCCTGGTTCCCAGGGCGGAGGGGGAGGAGGCGGAGGAGGAGCAGGACTAGGAGGCGGAGACGGAGGACAAGGGGCAGGGTGACGGGGCGAGGGAGGGGAAGGATCAGAGTTGCTCAGGTTTCGGGCGCGCGCGCCCCGCAGCCTGCGCAAGAAGAGGAGGAGGAGGACGAGGAGGGGAGAGCGAAGGAAGTGTTTGAGCATAGCGTTGCGATTGGGTGAGAAGGATGTCCGTTTTACGAGTGAGGCGGATGACGTTACCGACGCCGTTCGGTGCAGGTGAACAAGCAGCACAACGCCTGTCCAATGCCTTGTGAAGACGAACATACATCCGTTATCGTGCAAATCTGTTTCGGGCAAGATTTCCAGCACATCCAAGAAACCCGTTTCTTGAATTCATCACACCCCAAGATCGCGATCTATGCCTTGAGTTGAACCCAACGGGATTCAGTGAACTATGTGAATCGGTTTACTATGGAGGTGGCAGTTGTGAAAATAGCCTTAAGAGCCACGCGTGAGGGAACGAGAGAGTTCATAGAGAGGCAGACGGCAGCAGGGGTTACAACTGTCACCAATGGGGTTTGCTATGGACTGTTACTCGTGAGTCAGAAAAAGAATTCCCTGTTTCTAAGCATCGTCAACATGCACGCAAAGGGGGAAGGCCAAGAAATTGCAGCGAATGGCAGAAAAAAAGTAGAAGGACCGACGGACGTACTGACCAAGTCATGGAGATAAATAAAACAGGATGGCGACAGAAACTTGTCATGGAAACAGAAAGCCACGCGGCAATTCAACACGTGCGCAGGAGACAGAACCAAGTTTCGCGAGTGGCACGAAAAGTTGCTAAACACGCTGGCGCGAGTCAATCCTCGAAACCGTAAAGCGTTGAAACATTCAAGTGGTACATTTGACACGATGGATGCGTTGTTGCATGACTATGGTGTTGATAACATGGTCATGATTCTCAACAGCAGGTTAACAGCAGCAGAGTTTACGAAAGCCAGCCTGGGTCAAACGGGAGGAGCAGGCTAGTAAAGGAGAGTTCAAAAGAAGCCCACACATGGTACAAAAGTTGGACGAAGATTCGTGTTATTTCTTGAGCGACAAGTTGTATGAAGTTGATAAACCCAGGGGAAAGTTAAAAGGGACTCCAGGAAAGAGACGGACTGCGGGCAGCGCAAACACATGCACATGGTATTCCGCATGACAGCTATACTGGGTTTCGCCATGGACCCTGCTAAGCCGAAGAAAAAGGGTGATAATCTTTTAGATACGTGGACAGCCTTGGTGAAAACCCTGGAAAAGCATGGTCCAGCTTCATCGTTAATTCTCTCTTGTAGAGCTCCAGCACTCAGAGCCACCATGACGCATGCGGGACCCCGGACTCGCTCACACAAGAATACGACTTGAATTTGCACGTCAAGTGCGAGGATTGGGTGTTGAGTCATTGTTAGATGCCGACACTCAGATCCCCGACGCCAGGGTCATCGGGGGCGTTAGCGGGAATAGCGCGGATCCAGCTAGCATATGCGATACGCAAGGACGACGGATATTGGTGGGCCAGTGATCGATTTGGGGACAAGGGGGTTATAATGAAGGAGGCGAAGGCGCGGACGCAGTTAACAATGGAAAGTGGCAAGCAGGAAAAGCGACCCAAGCGTTACAAGGGCGGCCATTTCGGACGCATGGCATCGACCTGCTGGAAAGGAGGAGGAAAATGCAACAAAGAGAGAGGTGGGGGCACGGGGGGGGAGATGCTCCACGGGCAAGACGTCAAAAGAAAAAGCAAGGGAAGCGCAACAGCTATGGAAGCCACAGCGGCAAGGGACCAGGAGGACAGGGCACGGGACGATTCGTTCCCAGACAAGATCGGGAATGTCATAAGCAGAGGAAAGGGACACATTGCGGACCGCCGCACAGAATACGGAACACATGAAGCAGGTCAACACAAGGAGACAAGGCCAGAGTTAGACGACTACGGATGAGCAGCTGGGGCACAAATCACTTCGTTGGGACAGCCCACGCCGGGGCGCCATGGCGCGGACGAACCTGGCGACCCGCCAGGATTATACGGCTTGACCCAGCACCGCCACGCAAGCGCAAAGAAAAACGGGAATGCGAAGCCAGGACCGACGCAGCACTTACGAATGAGCGCGCGCTGCCCCAGTCGGACACAATGGCGATCGGCATTCCAGCGCGCGCAGATTTGGCACGAAAAATACCCCACAGCGAACTCAGCGGAAGCCCCTGGCGCCCGTCGCGGGGCCAACGCTGCCCCGGCGAGAACAACCCAGGGCCGCGCGAGACAGCGGCTGTGATTCTGCGCTCGGGCGCGCGCGGAACAGCGGGACCCCGCGCGCTGGAAGCCATATCTCAGCGACCGCAACGGGTGCGTCGCCAGCGCGAAAACGCTACCGCGCCGCCGACAGGGCGATCATCGGGAACCATGGACAGGATCGCAGTAGGAGAGAAAGAACAGGGAGCACGGGCAATACGCATTGCGACTTGTCCAGAAAATAGCCGGGGAGGAGGATTCGCTCCAGGGGAGATAGGGGGCAAAACGCAGGGTTGCTCATCACCGCCGCAGACTACGCGCGACCAATGAAAAAAAAGAGAGATGAGAGCGAGGAAGATGACATTGAAAACGCGGCTCTCGCGACGCATTGCAGGGGCGCCAAATTAGTTGACTTGGAATAAAATACGGCTCAGAAGTGGGCCAGTTCCACGTTAGGTCAAAGCCGCGACGGACACGATGACGGCTGGGTTCCCCGACACTGCGGGATATGAGGTTACAGCGAGAGCGGCCGCGCCCATTCTGGGGCAAACCGAGAGCGACGACAGCATCGACGCGAGGCCCATCGCGGCTTGGGGAGCAGATGCATAGAGAGCCGAGCACTTTGCCATGGGACCAACACCCGGATGCTACGGCTGCGCAGCCACGGTAAGAGGGGGCACCAGCCACAAGCCACGCAACGGCGAGTGCCGCGGGCGAGCAATTGAGTGGCTACAGCAGCGAGATGACCCAAGCACCCAAGAGAGGTTAGCCGCGGTTCAACTCAGGCAGGGGCCACCCGCCGAAGAAGAGACAAACCCTGCATCCAACGCGAGACGAAGCATGCCCGAGGTCATCGACGCATGGACCTTCAGGAAACAGAAGGCCACGAGGCAGCACGGAGCGCCCAGAACAAGTTTGCACGTTCCCGACAGGCGCCCGCCGACTGGCCTCAACGGGCGATGGGCGGAAGTGGAGGACGCCCGCGCAAGCCATGTCATCGCGAGAAGAACTGGGGAGATCCGCAAAGTTCACGACAGATTGAAGGACGCGGGTGGACAGGCGCCAGGGGGAGATGGGCGGGATGGACCAAGTTTGATGTAGGAAGAAGTAGTGGATGAAGAAATGCTTGCAACCTCGGGCGCAGCATCATCTGCGAAACGAGGGGCCCAAATTGAACAGGAGGACATTGGCGGGGACATTGACCCAGAGGATTTACCTGCTGACAGAACGATCGCGCCGCAATCGGACAACGAAATCATAGGAGAAATCAAGCAGGGCCTCCCAGGTAATGGACGTCAGCAAGAGCCGCGGCGATTACCCAGAGACTCAAGAGGCGCAAACACCCAAGAAGTTTAACGATGTGAGGAGGGCGGCGAGGTCGTTTGGAAGGGCTACACAGAAGTTCAGGCACACGCGATTGAGGCATACTCTCCGGCCAGGGTCACGGGCACGGCGGACAGACAACATGGGTCACGTACCCGGGCCTGGCCATGGATTTGACCACACGTGACGACCATGGGACTCCATGGGACTTCTAACAACTGGGACGCGACGAGAGCCAAACATTTTGAAAAGAAAATCTGCGTTCTTGTTAGTGGTCAGGCCCACGCGCTCAGCCCCCATCAGGCCACGCACCTTCAACGCTAGGAGATTTGGAAAGGGGGTTATGAAGGAAATTATTGATAGCGGCATTAAGCACCGCAACTTCGCTCTCGGGCAATGCGAGATCCAGAGGGGAACCCTTCTTTGAGCACCCTGCAGGAGCAGCCAGTTGGCACGCTATCTCGGTGCAAAGAACGTTGGCATCTTGAAGTTAACGTGCATGAAGGAGACATCTGCCAATATCAAATGGAACGAGTGGTTAATGGGGAAGAAGTCAGTCAAACAGACCCGGGAGACGCCATGAAATTGGAGAAGGCCAGGAGAGCCGACGGAACCCACGGGCCGATGCTACCAGGGGCCCAAAGGTCTGGCGCAGAGCAAGTGTGTCTGTCGCATAAACATTGATCTGCAGTCTGGCCAAGTTATCCAGGACAGGTCAGTTAACAAAGTCTTGGGCAAATCAAGAAGAAGAGAACTCACCAGCAGGCCAAATAATCTCGATACCAAATTCAGCGACCAACCAGTGGGTGATACGCAGGCCTTGAATGTGAGCGCAGCAGCTGCAATCACCAAGCTCGGTCATGCACGTCAAGAGCGCGCGAGGCACGCAGCGAGATCGCAAGCCTCGAGACGGCCAAGCGCAGAGACGTACTCAAGGTCTATCACTAGGAGGACTGTGAAAAACCAAGCCTGGGATGATGTGCCGGGCGCAGGGTTATATCCAGACCTGGCCAACAAGGCCCAGACAGAAGATTCAAAGAGAACAAGTCAAGAAGCACGGCGTGCATGAGAAGGTAGAGGAGGAGGTATGCTGGGAGGTTACCGGGAAAGGACCGATCGGCACAACGTGGATTGACATACATAAGGGACACTACGCAAACCCTGAGATCCTGACTGGTGGCCCAGCGAGCCAATTTTCATTCCAACGCAGCTACTCCGCCATTGGACATGCAAAAGCTATTATTCTCCACGGGCGGCTCTTGGCCGTCTTGGGAGCGGCCTCTTGGCCCGTCTCGGGGGCAATTTG